GAAAAAGAAGGTATTAAAGATAGAGGTAGGAAAACGTCCTAAAAGGAGGGTTATATAGAGGGTAGTAAGCTATATATATAATAATATAGTAATTATAAAAAGACTAGATATAACATATAAACCTATAAAGTAGTTTAGGATAGTAATAAAGAATAAAATAATATATAGTTTTAATTAATTTTATATAATATAGTTAAATTATCTTATAGAAAAGGTAGAGATATAGAAAAAAGTAAGCTACTTACTATAATAGGCTGCTTACTATATATATATATTAATAGATTTACTAAATTATTACCTAATAAGGCACTAGAATAACTAGTTAGAAATAAAATAGTTTAAATTAGTATAAAGGGATAAGTTTCTTAAGCTATATAATAGATTATATAAATAAAAAGTATTAAATACTTTTAAGCTTTTAATTTTTATTATATTTTTAAGCTTTTTAGCTACTAAGTAGTATTTAGGCTATTTATAGTAATTTTCTTTTACTTTAAAAAGTTATTAGTGTTAAGATATTTAACTATTTAATAGTAAAGCTAATCTATAGTTATGTAATTTACTATTACGTAACTTACCCTAGCGGCTTACTTACACTACTATAAATACCTATAGCAGTAACCTCTTCTCTTTTCCTTAATTATTATCTTCACCCAGCTACTAATAGTCAATTAATACTATTACGGCTACCTTAATTGCGATCCCTGTGATACCAACACAAACCATGCCAATTAACAGTAAATATCTCAATTCGGTTATCTCGGATGATGTACTGTATTGGTAGGTAGCTTATAGATCATAACAAATAGTGGACATGCGATACTCAGCTTTTCTCGAAACTGCATTCATCTCCAAAGAAGTCCAAGCAAGGTCTGATGGTGGCACTCTGGCGACCCTCTATAGGAGGTCGCTTTGCATCTTTCGGAGACTTTCCCCCGTTGCATATTGCATGCTCACCTATCAGAGCTGGGAACACATCCAAGTACACTAATAGCCTGGCTTCGGTTTCCACACGCATCTAGGAGATGATATCGCATTCAGTGTAGTCAATTCTCAGCCCTATCAGACCAGACGAAGTGATGAAAGTGTGCTAGACATTTGACTATCATAGCCTGTCGCTAACTATCGCTAGAATACCACTGAGATGCTTTTGAGTTTGGCGCTTTCGTTATGGCCTAGAATTCTTCGGCGACCTTGAATGAACCAACTGCATGCAGAAGAGACCCAATCAAAGGTCATGGTTCATCTAATAATGTGCTAGGTCACCCACATCGTTCGATATTCTGCGACGCACGCAACCCCGATCGGGCCACAAGCTTAAGCATAATGTAAACTAATTAAACAGGCACCATTTATAGCTTCTCCCTCATTCCTTTGTTGCGGTTCCAATTTGCCTACCTAATATGATTTGGTACCTATGGGTTCACTTGACTTGTTCTAGTCAGTCTAGTTCATTCCACGGCTCTCGATGCGGCCATGTGCGTCGCGACACCAATTGATTCGAGTCAGACGGTCTCAACCGAAAGATCAAGTAACCAGATATCTTACAATGGCGAGATACTGCAACGCTGACTTACTTAATAGTAAAGTTGGCAGTAGATTATACTAAGAGTTAAGAAGCTTGATAGTGTACCAAAATGGACAACCATGCTATTTGGCAACATGTGAATCCGACGAACTCAAAACAAGCAATTCCAGGACCTTCAATCTTGGACGGAATCTACCAGAAAAGCTTACCAGAAGAATAGTAGTTAGTGGTCTAGTGGCGCATAGCAACTAGGCAAGCTCAAGTATTGTGGCGTTGACTACATCCGGCGATTTCTGGACTACTGGTAATTCAGCTCCAAGCCACGTGCAAGCCTGGCTCGTTCAACGTTCAACCCAAACTGATCGGCTAGCCCCGAGCATGCCAAGTCGTAAAGGATGTGTGACCCTTGCATTCCGACTCTCTGACTTTATACCTTCAGCTTGGCGTTTGCCTGGAGCCCTGTCATAAACTAGCCCTATGCGTTGGGTGATTGAATGTTGCCGGCCGTCCAATCTCTCCGAAAAGTTTCTCGGAGGGTCATCCGGAAGACTAGGAATGAAGTTAATGATGTCTGGTGGAGACTGTTGGGTTATAAGTCCGGGATTGGCGCCAAGTTTAACCCTCTTGATCTGTCGGTCCTGTCTGACAACCCCCAATTTCCTTCGCTTCTCCTTCGATATACCTTGACACGAAGCCGTCAATGTCAACTGTCCTCAGGTACCAAACACATATAGGAGCATTTTCGTCAGCGCTAACAGGGAGTAAGAAAAATCAGGCTGTGCGGCCTTTTCTTTGGTCTCTCACAGACCGTATATGCCGCCCTTGGAGAAACAACAACTGTCTCAAAGACGGTACCAACCCAATCATGTCTGCCTCAGTATCTTGGAGCCAGGACGGATGGCAGAAAAGCAGATCCCCCGTGGGGCAGCCGGACATGCAAGACTAACCCTGAAGACGTGCCTACCACTGGTGTCACACGGAGATACGAATGGACGATTCAAAGGGCAGTTTTGGCCCCAGATGGACTTGGTACGTTGCATCGATGACAGAATCCACCGGCCTACACCTCCAGAGCGGTAATACTAGGCTATGCATTTCAGTTCACTGGCTAAATACTCCCAAAACGTGCAGAACAGAGTCTAGTTACTGTCAATGGACAGTTTCCCGGACCCCTTTTAGAGGCCAATTGGGGCGATATGGTGGAGATTACCATTCACAACAACATCACGGATCCAGAGGAAGGCACCGCAATGCATTGGCATGGGTGAGTCCAGTAGCCCGTGGATACGATGGTATCCTTCCTCTTCATGCTAACGTTGAGTTCAGCATTCACCAACAAGGGACTGGTCTCATGGACGGAGTTAGTGGAATTACCCAGTGCCCTATTGTGCCCGGTGGGAGCTTCACTTACCGCTGGAAGGCCAGCACATATTGGTCAACATGGTATCATGGACACCACGGCCTACAATATGGCGAGGGCCTCTGGGGTCCATTGATAATCTACGGCCCGTCCCATGTTAAGTTTGATTTTGACCTCGGCCCTGTTACACTGTCCGACTACTATCACTACCCCGTCGAGAAGATTGCGTTGGATGCCATCTCGACTAGCAATGATCCCAACGTTTACGCCCCAAAGTCGAACAATCACCTGATAAATGGAAAAAATAGCTACAACTGCTCGTTGGCACCCGCTAACGCAACCTGCACCAACAACGCCGAGCGCGCATCTCTCAGGTTCAAGTCCGGTAAGGTTCATAAGCTTCGGCTTATCAACACCAGTGTCGAGGCCATGCAAATATTTTCCATCGACGGTCATACGCTCACTGTCACCACGATGGACTTTGTACCTGTCGAGCCTTACCAAGTGGAATACATCATTCTTGGTGTTGGGATGAGAGCTGAAGTCCTTGTCAATGGCACTGGAAATCCCAAGCAATCTTACTACATGCGGTCGAGGATTCAATGTGCTGCTACCAACACCACTGAAGCACTCGGTACAATCTATTATGATGAAACTCCAAACACGGTAGTTCCGACAACTACAGTAGTCTCAGCACTCCCTAACTTTTCCTCTACCTGTGGTGATGTAAGCTTTTTATACCCATCACATGTTTAAACATCTATATTAACTCTTACTCCTTTCTACAGCCTGATCTTCCTAAGAAGAAGCCAATCTACAAGAAAAGCGTTCCCAAGCCGGACCTTACCCTACTCTATAACATCACCTTTGGAGTGAACGCCAGTGGCAACCATCAATGGTTGATGAACAATGTGACGTTCAAGGCGGACTGGAGTCGTCCTTTGTATATTGAAGCGGCCGACGGCAACGCCAAGTATCTAAAGGATCCTTAGCATATTCTGACGACCATCCCTGATGAAATTCGCCACGTTCGCGTCATCATGAACAACAATTTCTCTATCCATCCCATGCATATCCATGGCGGTGACTTTCAAATCCTTAGCGAATCAGATGGGTTTTACAATGGGACCATCGACTACCCCAAGAACCCGGCACGCGCTGACACGGAATCCCTCCGACGCAACGGGCATCTCATTGTACAGTTCGACGCGAAGAACCCAGGGGTCTGGAGCTTCCACTGTCACACTGCTTGGCACGCTAGCGTTGGACTTTACATCAACTTTCTGGTCAAGCCCAAAACCGTCCGGAAAAGCAAGATCCCTGACAACACAAGGGAGGTTTGCCGGGCTTGGGATAATTACAGGCAACTGAGTGGCGAAAACTCATTTCCTATTGATAGTGGACTTCGATAAAAGTACTGCCTGCGAGGAGATTTCGCTAGTGTTTTGACGGGCATGACAATGCGGGAGTCTGGTGTAAATATTCTAAACTCCGCATGCCAAGGAGTAACCACTTCCGCGGATTTCCAAGCCGATATTTTATTTTTCTTCTTTATGTCGAATAGTTGACAGTAGTTTCTACATGGTTTAAGTTACCCCTAAGAATGTCATCCGATAATGAAAGCAATACCTGTATAGCTTATAATTCAAGTAGAGCTCCAAATACAAGTAGCGTTGAAAGCGCTCGGCTTCGAGCGATTGAGCGAAAATAGGTAAAGCTAACATGGTTCAAGGCAGCATTTATGTGAGCGATGTTATTGGTAGTGCATACAAACAGTGAAGAGGCTGGCCACCTCTCTCGCTCATGCTAATGCGCGGAGGCGTCTTGTCGTTCTCGGACTCGGACCATTGTCTCCCACCCGTTTCCGACGGCTAAGAAGGTGTGCCTGATAGGAGAAAGGTTGTTTGCCCATCGATGGTGTGGGCGAATACTGGAGACCTGCATCTAGGGTACGAGGCACACTGGATCGACAATTTTTCAGGGAACGATGAAGCAGTAGGACTGGCCCGTTGTTGCGTAGTCCAGCGAGTTGCATTGTCTCTTGACATGCCTTGATTTGTACCAGTCTCCGAGTGACCTCATTTATGATTTTCTTTTTCACCGCCTTTGTAATCACATCCAGTACCCATCTTTCCAGAGATCCTTTCTGTATCCCTCGGTCAGCCGCTCGTCCTCGCCATATACCTCTTGCCAGCCGACGAAGCCACGGTCGAGGACGAAGACAGTCGGCGGATCCGTGTTTGCTGTCTCGTCGGCTGTTTCCGAAGACTTTTTCGTGGCTTTCATCCGTTCGCATTCTCGAAGGTACCGAAGGGCGGCGCTGGGTCCACGTTGCTGGGAGAGAGCGCAATGGAAGATGACGGTCTTCTTGCCTTCCAGACGACGAACGAGGGTAGGCATCATAGCTTCGAGGCTGCGAGAAGGAATATGGATGCAGCCTCTTATGTGACCGCCGATATAATCTGTTAGGAGGAAGAATATTAGCGAGATCTTCGAACAGCCGCCTCATGGGCAGAGATGAAAGGCTGACTGACCATCGTCGCGAACGTCGACCACAGCCGCTGAGGGGTTAGTTGCGGCCTGTTCTGCCAGAAGTATGGTTGAGAGCTTATCGGCGGTGATGCGCTGAAGATTTCCGATGCTCGCCATGTTGCGCGCAGAATGGTAAAGTCGCGAGGCGAGGACGTTCATCAGCCAAGTAATGATATGTGACGTTGAAGGAACTCGGTCCAAAGTTTATCGCAAAGGCCCGGACTTTAGAGCTTGGACGCGGGGCAACTTTACCCCTGCTGCCGGTAGGGAGGGAAGCATTACAGGCCATATCCTTGTCTCCAGAGACATTACGTAATCTCATTTTGCCCACCTTTCCCTTCCAGGCATATTGGTTTTCCATAGCAAAGACAAGTCGTACAACGTCTTCCAAGTTCATATTTACACTTTATGAACCCTCTCACCCTCCTCCCTCGTCGGGGTGCAATCTACTAAACCTTCCAAAGCTCAAATACCACAGTATGTACTACACAATACCGCCATCTAGGGTCACATTCGACCAACTCAAGTGTCACAAGTTAGAGCACACAGCAGGACATAGGGCAATTCAGGTCTAAAAGGCTTACTACTATGTCAAAGTGGGCGAAATGGCCGCGTGCGCTCGGGCGCAGAGTGGGGCGATCGGCCGCAAATGCGCCAGTCATTTCCCAGATGGATTTCTCCACCCAAAACAAGGGAAAATAATGATCCAAACATTTGCCTTATAAAGGGCCAATCGGCAATGGCCGCGGGCTACAGATAGCAACAGATACACTAGGAGAGCAATCAATCAACGCAAGGGTATTGATGCTAACTTACGTGCTTTAACAGCTTATTTCTATATAAGTAAAGGAATAGAAAATAGTGACCTATTTATAGTTAAGCAAAGGTAAGATGCTGTTAAATCGTAAGGATTATATAATAATTGATTAATTAATTCTGTGTTATGCTGTGTAACTATAGTAAAAATCCTATAGAAACAAAGAAATCCTCCTATTCCTTAGTTAGGAAATCCTAAGCTAATCCTAGCTATATAAATAAGTGGAATTACTAGTAAAATAGGGCTAATTTACTACCTATTTCCTAACTATTTACTATAGGTTAACTATATATTTACTACTTAATTTATATATAATTCTACTATGATTAATACCCCCCCTTAGTCTTAGTAATATAATTAATAACTATAAAGCCTATATTAAATATCTTCTATATATAGTCTATTTACTTATTAATTATTCTTTAATATCTTATATATATATTTTTCTTTATTTAGTAGTAAAGCTTTACTTTCTTATTAGCTAGTTCTTATTATTAATTTACTTTAAGGTATATATATTAGTTACTTATATTTAAATAAGCTATAAATATAGTAAATTATTATATACTAAGCGTCTTTATTAACTTATTAGCTATTACTTTAGTAGACTTCTTATATTTAATAGTAATCTAATTTACTACTACTTCTTAGTATAGCTAGTAGTTATAAATATCTATATACTATAGCCTAATTTAAAGTTAAATAGGCTTTTTAGTAATAAGCCTAATAGTCTAGGTATTATTATAGCTAATATAAATAGTTAGTAGCTATTTAATAGCTACTTACTTATTAAGTGATAATTTATTTCTTAGTTAAGTTAATAGTTAAATACTTAGTATAGTAATTAATTTATTAGTAAAAAGCGCCTCTCTTGTAGTTAATAATAGTACTAGTAATTTAGCCTTAGTAGTTAATATTATTATTATATCTTACTTATAAGCTTACTAAAAGACAAGCTATTAAATATAGTAAGATTATATATATATTAAGTAGTAAATATATAGTTAACTTATAGTAAATAGTTAAAGAGTAAGTAGTAAATTAGCCTTACTTTACTAGTAATTCTACTAATTATGTAGCTAAGATTAGCTTAGAATTCTCTAACTAAGAAATAAGGGGATTTCTTTATTCTTATAGAATTTTCACTACAGTTATATAATATAATATAAAATTAATTAATAAACTATTATATAATTCTTATAATTAATATAAGCCTTTTAAATAGCTTTAGTATATATACTTATAAGCTATAATAGACTAGTAAGTTATTAGTAAATAAGGGGTCTAAGGTAACCTTTAATATATTATCTTTACTACTTAATATTACTTAATATCTAAAGTAAAAGTACTATATCTAATAAAAATATCTAAGTATATAATTTATAGCCTCTTAATAATCTAGATTTAGATTATAGTTAAAGTAAGTAAGCTAGCTAGCTATAAAAGTAATATCTAGCTAGGTTATTACTACTATATAAAGAATTATTTTTATTTTCTTTTAATATTAATTAATCTTTTATAATAAGGCTATATACTTACTAAGTTATTACTTAGCTTTTACTATAAGTAAGAATTTATTATATTTCTTAATTAGTAGTAGTAGTTTAGTTACTTTATTATAATATACTACTTATAAGAGCTAAAGATAATAATTACTTTAGTTATGAATTATCTTAAGACTAAAAGACTATTAAAGTAAATCTTTATCTTTAAAATAGTATTATTACTAAAAGATTACTATCTTATTACTTACTTATACTTTATTTATATAGTAGTAAGCTAGTATATAGTTATTAATATAAAAAAGAATATAATATAATTCTTCTTCTAATACTAATTCTTACTAAGTACTTAGTAAAAGCCTTAAGATTAGGGTTATTATCTTCCTAGACCTTTAATTAGCTATAAAAGCTCTTATATTATAGGTCTATATACAAAAGATAAAGAATGGAAAAGTCTAGAGCTACATATAGCCACTAGTGCGTACTTTTAAGCAGGCTAGTAATTACATAGGCTCTTCTAGGCATTATAATTTATATTATAATAATTACTACCCATTATAAAAAGTCCTTACTACCCTTAGTAACTACTATTACTATTAAAGCGTTAAAGAAAAATACAAAATACAATATAATATAATATAAATATAACATATATATTATATTATATTATGTTAGAAAAGAAATACATATATTTATATTATGTTTATATTATATTTAAATTATAATCTATATTTAATATCATAATATAAGGTATAAAATAAATATTAGTATTAAATAGTATAATTATACTTTTAGGATTTTATTATACTTAATAATACTATATATTATAATTAAAAATACTATAAATATATATATATATATATAACGCACCTGTATAGCAAGCGGATAATTTAGCAAGCAGACTACTGCTTCATTACGCCTTAAAGGCTACTTTTTACCTATTTTTTAAAAATTAAAATTAAGCCTAAAAAGGTCTAGTTTTCTATAATATAATTTAATAAAAGTTATATTATAACAAATAATACCCTAGAAAATACTCTCTATCTAGTTATTAAGGTATAAACTTAAGCTTTTATCTAAAGCTCCTAATAAGGGGTTAAGGTTAGTAGTAAGGTTAGGGTAAGATAGTATTTTCTAGAGTATTATTTATTATAGTTATTACACTTTAGGTACTAGAAAATAAGATATAAAATTTAATACCTTCCTCTGTCTAAAGTAGAGGCCTATTTTCCTTAAAATACATAAGGGATTTCCTTAGCTAATACTTTACTAATTAGTGTAATAATTCTCTAATAATAGTAGGATAATTATTTAGTAATTCCTAGATAATTATTAGCTCTTTAGTAAGGAACTATTAGCTAATTATCTACCCTTTAGTTAGTAAATAGCTAGTACAACCTATAGCTATTAGCCTAACTAGGTAATAGTAAATTAGCTAAGAAATAGATATTTTATTATATAGTAATTACCTATATATAAATTACTTTTTATTCTAAAATATATAATAATTTATAAGTAATAAATATAAAATAGTAGTATATAACAGACGTTTAATAACTAACTTTTTTTATACTAAGCTATTATTATCTATTTCTTTAATTTACTATATATAACGTACCTATATAGTAAGCAGGCTATTATAGTAAGCAGGCTACTTTTCTTTCTTTCTAACTCTTTAGCCTTTACACTAATATTCCTTAACGTATAAATATATAATCCTCTTTAATTAAAAGCTGTATTTTCCTTGCCCTCTAAGCTATTAAAAAAGACCTAAAAATATTTATATAAAAAGTAGCTTCTATATTTAAGGTCCTAAGAATAACACTTTAATACTAACGTGTTAGATAAATACTATAAGCTAAGACACGTCTAAAATTAAAAAAGATAATAGAAATAAAGGAAAAGGTAATTCTTAAAAAGGTTATTAACCTAATTAATTAAAGGTTTCCTCTATAATAAGAAGATATATAAGATATAGCTAACTAACTTCTAGATAAACGTAACGTAACGCGTGTTAGACCCTAATAAGTAGAGAATTTTATATAATAATAGCCCTAATTAAAAATATAATTTTAATGTTAAATTAACTATTAAAGGGCCTTAGCTAAAGATCTTATAATTATATAAGGCTAGTTTATACTTATATAAAATATAATTATAAAGTATAGAATATAGGATTATAATATTTATAAATCTAATAAGACTAGGTTCTTAATAGGAATAATATTATATATAAAGGTTATTATAACCTCTAATTATAAGGGAAGGCCTTATATAAAGCAGCTTAGTAATTAAGAATAGGTTTCTATTATTTAGGGTATATATATAAATAGCTAGGTAATACCTTTATATATTATTATAAAAAGTAAATATTACCTCCTCTTTTAGCACTAAAATAGCTAATTCCTAGCTAAATAGCATATCTACTTGATAAAAAATAAATGAATAATAAATAAGATTAGCCTAAATTAGTTAAATTATTTTAACTAGTATATAAAGTCTTATATAAAAAGTACTTATTAACTTTTAATCCTTAATAGCTATAATAGCTATAAATTAACTAAATTTAATAATTTTTATAAAAAATAAAAGGTTATTACTTTATATATACCTCCTTATTTATTATTAGAATAGGGTAGGGCGATTAGCCTAGAGTAAGGTAGTATAGGGGCTAATTAGAAGATCTTAATCCTAATTAAGTACGGGGATATAAGCCAGCGTCAATAGGTTTAGAGATAGACACGCAGAATTCATCCTTTATACTTATACCTACCTTCTAATCAAACTAAAGCCTCTCT